GACTGGTAGGGACCTTTTCCTGCCAGTGTAACCAGGCTTAGGCAGGGATCAGGGATGGCCTCTCAAAAGAGGCAAGGCCTGTGTCGAAATTGATGGGAAAGCAGCCTAGTGTGGACCAGAGGAAAGTGTGTTCTACCCAAGGAAGAGCTGGTCTAAAGGCACTGGGGTGCAAGTAAGCTGGACCTGTCCATGCTGGAGGGAGAGAGGGGAGGACAAGTGAGCCCAACTGCTGCTGGATCTGGCAAGTCCAAGGGCACATCACCTTGCTGAGGCTTGGGCCCCCCCCCCCCACATTCCCGCCACCCCTGCCCCCTACCTTCCCACAGGATTTTACAGATAACATAATGAGGTCCTGGAAGAGTAGGCAGAAGCAAGTAGCAGACGTTTGGCCCCAGGGAATCTGAAGCCCAGCTGGGAAGACAGAGCCTGTGATGAGTTGGTGTGCCTTGGCAAGATGAGGATGGTGTCCCAGGGCCGATGCTTGAGATTATGTGTTTTGGGGAGTGCCCTACAGTGAGCAGTGGGCACAGGCTCTGTGGGCAGCTGCAAGGCCTTGCTGGTGTTTAGGCCTGCAGCTGTGGGGGAGCAGATCATGCCCCGCTCCCCATGGTACCGGCTCTTCAGCGCCTGGGAATCTGCATTCCAGGTCTTCCCAAGTTTGATGCAGTGCTGAGACTTCTTCCAGTGCTGGATTAGATTCAGGAGGATTATTTGAAAAGAATGGGCGTACCCTGGCCTCGTCAGACCACCCAGCACTATCTTCACCAGCAGTGCTGGGGCACCCGTGTCCATGCTGGGCCAGACTGTGTTGAGCTGCCTTGTACTGGGGGCTCCAGGAAGACAGAGACTGGGTAACACCAAACAGGTGACCGCCAGAGTGCAGTGCCTGATGCACACTGTCCATGGGTCCTCAGGACTGTGGGATTTTAAAGTAAATATGCGTTATGCTTTTACTTATTTTATTTTATTTTGAGTTGGAGTCTTACTCTATCACCCAGACTGGAGGAGGGCAGTGGCACGCTCTTGGCCACACCACAGCCTCGACCTGCTGGGCTCAGGCAATCCTTCCACCTCAGCCTTCCAGGTAGCTGGAACTACAGGCATACGCCACCATGCCTGACTAACTTTTTTGTTTATTTGTTTTTTGTTTTGTAGAGATGGGGTCTCACCAAGTTGCCCAGGCTGGTCTCGAATCTGCGAGCTCAGGCAATCCTCTCACTTCAGCCTCCCAAAGTGCTGGGATTATAGGCATGAGCCACTGTGCCCGGCTGCTTAAGAAAGATCTGAAAAATGAAAATGTAGGACCAAATCCCACCATGAAAACCAAGTCCTAGTGAACATCTTTGAATGTTTTCTTCCCATCTTTTTTTTTTCTTCTGTTTCTAGGGTGACTCAATTGTGTCACTTGGCTGTGATTCTATTGTATGTACAGTTTAGCTCTCAGAGAAGTTTCTCATTTTCTTTTCAAATTTAATGATTTATGTGTTTTTTTTTAGAGCCAGGATCTTACTCTGTCACCCAGGCTAGAGTGTGGCTGCGTCATCATAGGTTACTGCAGCCTCAAGCTCCTGGGCTCAAGTAATCCTTCTGCCTCAGCCTCCCAAAGTGCTGGGATTATAGATGTGAGCCACCATGCCCCAGCCAGCTTTTCATTTTCTTTCATACTCTTTCTGGGCAAAAAATGTGGAATAAAATTAAATGTCATGGAAATTTCTAATAAACAGAGTGAGACCACATGGAATTGTGAGACAGGTAAGGGGCAGTGGAATGAGATGCTTTGCCAAGATGCATGGGGACAAGGCATCAAGGTGCCTTGCTTGGGAGGGTCCACAGGAGAACAGCTTACCTGTCGCAGGAGGACAGCCAGGAGCTGGCCACGCCGCCGACACGGTGACGCCACTGAAACCATGACTGTTCTGCATTCTCTGCCATCTGCTACACTAATTGGATGAGTATTAACTGTTCTTCCCTAGTTCTGTGCAACTTAAGACTCCAGAAAGATGTGACCTGTGACTCAGGAGAGAGACAGTGAGTTGTTGTCATTATTTGAAGCAGCCTCAGGATATGAATGGGTTCCCCTCAGCACCTAAAGTGGGCACGTGATTGGTCATTGGTTGTGAGAGACTTTTCCTTGTGTGGCTTTTCTAAGAGCAGAGGAAAAGGTTTTGTGTCTTGAGCCAAGGTGGCATGTTAGGTGGAAGCAGCAGTCACAGAGCTGCTGACTGCACCATCCTCGTGTCCATGGAGAGTCTGGTGAAGGTGCTTTCCTCTCCGGCCAGGTGTGGTTTTACTAGAACCTCTGAAGTTTGAGTTCAGAGCTAGTACTCCCAGAAGACTCTGTTACTCTTTTTACATGATTTTTAGTCAAATTACTAAAAACCTGCCTAGGCAAGTGGTAATGGATCAGAACACAAGGCAACAGGAGCTCACCTGTCTCTTATGACAGATGCAGGCTCCATCCAAAAGTCTCAAGGCCGTGCCAGCAGGTGGTCTCGGGGCCAACCTGTCCAGGTCCATCCGTGTGCGGGTACCTGGGGCTCACCCTCACTCTTGCCCTTCTCTCCCTTCTCTCAGGGCTGTGTCCGCTGCTGCCTGTGACTGCAGAGGCCTCAGGGTGCTAGCCCCTTGTCCAGTCCTCATGTGGACCCAGGACCTGGAAGGACCCCTGCAGGGCCGGGGGAGGGGAATGTTTGTGAATCATTGCAGTGCAATTTTACCATCCTGGGGAAACAGCACAAATGTTTTAAAAAGAAAACTTCACTAGTCACCGTCAGAAGGTGCTGGGACACCCTGACTTTGATCCTATGACTAAAGACAATCCATGCTCTCCCCTTTCTTGGGTAAGCTATGCCTCTGGGTTGCCGTGAGGGCAGGCCCCTTTTAACAGAAGTATCCCAACTTACAAGCAAAGGGTGATGAGAGATAACACGTTGCCATTTGACTGCACTAGTGAATTAGTATGTTTATGTCGTGATCATTAAGAAGGGATTTGGGTCAGGCTCACACCTGTAATCCTAGCACTTTGGGAGGCTGAGGTGGGAGGATTACTTGAACCCAGGAGTTCGAGTCTAGCCTGGGCAACATAGCAAGACCTTGTCTCTCTCTTGGTTTTTTGTTTGTTTGTTTGTTTGTTTGTTTTTGTTTTGAGTCAGGAGTCTCATTCTGTCACTCAGGCTGGAGTGCAGTGGCATGATCACTCAGAGCAGACTCTACTTCCTGGGCTCAGATGATCCCTCCACCTCAGCATCCCAGTTAGCTGGGACTACAGGGCTATGCCACCACACCCAGCTAATTTTAAATTTTTTGTAGAGACAAGGTCTTGCTATGTTGCCCAGGCAGGTCTTGAATTCCTGGGATCAAGCAATCCACCCACCTTGGCCTTCTAAAGTGCTGGGATTATAGGTGTGAGCCACTGCACCCAGCCAAGACCTTGTCTCTTAAAAAAAATTAAAAAAAGTTAGCCAGGCATGGTGGTGTGCGCCTGTAGTCCCAGCTACTCAGTAGACTAAAGCAGGAGGATTGCCTGAGTCAAGGAGGTCAAGGCCATGATGAGCCATGATCATGCCACTGCACTGCAACCTGGATGACAGAGTAAGAGCTTGCCTCTAAAAAAATTTTTTTTAAAAGAAGAAGGGAAACAGCTGGCCTCACATGTGGACGCATGCCACGCAACCCCCAAAGTAATCTCATCAGAAAAGTTAGACACAAATGTAGATCTGAGTACTAGTTTACAGAAAATCCAGAGATCGAGTGTGCAGTCAACAAACTAGAGATTGGGAAGGTGCAGGACAAAGAGGCTGAATTCTTCAAGTAAGTGTGAGGTGGGGAATGGGAGTGTTAAAGGCGACCTGCCAGAAGCAGCCAGCAGCATCCTTAGGGGATCTCAGTGTAAACAAACCTTAAAAATGAGACAGTGAGGGAAATGTCAGTCCTGCCTAGATCTTTGGTGATACTGAAGAGTGTGTGATTTGCTGGGAGGATGGTAGTGTGGTCGTGCTGTGGGAAAGAGTCCTTAGCTCTTAGAGGCACATGCTGGCGGATTTCAGGATGAAAAGTGAAATGATGCACTGTCTGAGATCTTCAGGGCGATTCCCGAAGAGGTTTGGATGAAATAAAATTAGCTATGACCCGATAACTGTTAATACTGAGAAGAAGGCCATGTGGGGCTTTATTGTGTGTGTGTGTGTAATTATTATTAATACTTTTAGAGACAGGGTCTCACTCCATCACTAAGGTTGGGGTGCAGTGGCGCAGTCATAGTTTACTGCACAGCCATGACCTCCTGGGCTCAACCAGTACGCCCATATGAGCCACCACATCCTGCTAGTATAGTTTTATCTCTGTTTAAATATTGGAAAGTTTCCACAATACAAACTTTGAAGATAAGAACAAAACATTCAGAATGGCTCCTTTTTGCTTCCCAAGAATGACTCAGGTGTTCCAGGGTTTGTGAGAGGTGTGTTGGGTTCATGTTAGAAACCACCTCGCATGTATCTGTACAAACAACGTCTTCAACTCAAAGACCACAGTCAGATGCAGCTAATTCTTACTCTCATTGGAGTAAGCACATGGGAATGTTTGCACTAAGCAGCCTGGGCTCGTCTGATTGATCTGCAAGTGCCTGCTTGGTGTCTCTTACCAGAGCTGGTCACCAGCTGCCACCAGCCGCTCCTGCTGCCATCACTTTCATCCATCAGGGCATCATTTAATGACAAGACCGCAGCCTTGGCTGCTGCCAGGCGATTTGCAAGTTCAGCAAGTCACTTTGCTCCACCATCCGTAGTGGCAGGAGATGCGTTTGCCTTGCTGGTGGGAGTTTTATTTCTCTTTCCCAGCTCAATACAGAAGTACTCTGTCTTGCACAAGGGCTTGATTGACAGCATGAGGGGAGACATGTGGGCTGATTTCTCATGTGACTGCAGCTCGGGTAGGATTCGCTCAGTTCGGGGGCTCAGGGGTCTAGCACCCGTTACACTAAAGGTCTTACTCCTGCTTTGCAGACTGGGCCAGCGCCATCCGCATCGCTGCTCTGGACTGTGCAGAGGAGAAGAATCAAGCAGTGTGCCGTGCCTATGACATCCACTTCTACCCCACCTTCAGGGTAAGCTTGTGCCCCGAGTCTGGTCCTGGCCCTGCCTCGGTTCACCCAGGGCTTCCTTGAAGTAGCAACTCCCCACATCTGTAGTTGCTGCAGTTTTAGCATCTCCACTTGCTTCTCGAAGCTTAGCAGGAATAGTAGGAATTGTGCACCATGGGGCCCCTCCTCTGCTCCACCTGTCGAGCTGGAGAAGTCTGCTGGAACTGTCTGCACATGGCCCACTCACACAGAGGCAGTTTGTGAACAACCAGGGTGTGAGGACAGTAGGCACACATGAGGGTTGGCACCCTGGCCTGAGGTCTGTTGCCCATTGCTGTCTCCATGCATGTGATCTGTGTAACTTGTGTCTGTGTCTCCCCTCAGGGGACCACATGCAACATCAGGGTGTCATGGTTGGATACGTACTGGATGCCCGGCTGTGCCCTCCTGAGCTATAGACAAGCCCCGCAGACAAGCCCATACCTGTGTCTTCCACTAGGGGGCAGAGGTGAACAACCCTATTGGGGACCCAGTACGTTGTGTGTGTGTGCTCAAGTGTGTGCAGCACTGCCTGCAAATGAGCCACGTGATAACATCGCTGTCTCCAGAACCCTGAGGCACCTCTGGAGACTGTTTCCCAGGATCCTTTGTACCCTGTCCCTCAGTCCTGCCGTCTGTGCCTTGTGTAGTGTGCTGTCTCGGTGGCTTCCCTTCTCATGGTTATTGGGCTGGTTGTTATGACTGAGGTGCCAGCACCTGTGGACCTGCCACCCAGCAGGCACTACGCTGGCAGCATGGTGCCCGCTGGCCGAGGGTCTTCTCCCCTGGTCCTGTCTCCACACTGTCGTTTACCTGCCCTAGCATTTGGTCACAGCCCAATGAAGCCCTGTCCTTGGTTTTTACTTCACATGCAGGGGCTATGTGTCAACTTCGGGGGCCTCCTCTCTCTCTTACTATCTATGACATTGCCCAGAGTTCCCCCATGATGCGGGTGCTGCAGAGCCTCACCTCTCAGTGTCGGGAATGGGGAGGGTTCCTCTGGGTTGGCCTAGGAGGGAGGCGCTGGGCTGTAGGAGCAGGCCTGGGCCTGATGGACCCGTAGGACAGCCCGCCCCCACTGCCGGGCAGGGCAGGGCAGCATCGGGTGGTTTTGTGCTTGCCCACACTGGTTTTGTTTGCATTTTCCTGGTGACTGGTGGTACGAGCACACCCGTGTTTATTGGGTATCCTCATCTGTGACGTGTCCATGCTGTTGCCTGTCCATTTCCTTGTGGGTCATTTGTGCTTTTCTTACTCATTTATAGAAGCCCTTTGTACATTCCCAATGCTAAACTTTTTTCGATTATCAGTATTGGGAATATCTTCATGCAGTCTGTAACTCATCTTTTCACTGTCTTTAGTGTGCCATTTAATGAAGAAAGTTATTTATTTTATTTAATTTATTTAGAGTCAAGGTTTCACTCCATTGCCCAGGCTGGAGTACAGTGGCGGGATCATGGCTCATCACAGTCTCAAACTGGGCTCAGGCAGTCCTTCTTCCTCAGCCTCTGGAGTAGCTGGAAGTACAGGCATGCATCACCATGCCTAGCTAATTTTTTGATTTTTTAAATTTTTGTAGAGACTTTGTTGCCCAGGTGTTGGTCTTGAACTCCTGGGCTTAAGAGATCCTCCCACTTTGGCCTCCCAAAGTATTAGGTTTACAGGTGTGACCCACTACACCTGGCCCAAAATTGAATCCTTTTCATTTGCTCAAAGATAGCTTCTGTCATCCTCCCTACAAATCTTTCATGTTGTGATAGCTAACCATTAGGCTGCATATGTAATACCATGAGTCAGAGAAAGTGTCTTGATGATTCCAACCCAGTTGTGCTATCTTTTTTTCTAGCCCTGTTGGGTTAGAATATGCAAATAACAGAATTCTGATTGGTACTAACCTTAGTCCACTCATCAGACTGCCAGAAAACACAAGTATCTACAGAGATACCAGTGTTAGAAGCGTGTGGTTTGTCATCAATTTATGTAAACTTTCCAAAGGAAATTGCCTAAAGATCTCTTTAAGATGGTGGTCATTTTTATTGCTTAAATATTGAAACTATACACAGACGCCCACGCAGAGCTGTTTCTTATTTGTTCTGTGTTTTTCCTCTTAGTATTTTAAAGCATTTACAAAGGAGTTTACAACTGGAGAAAATTTTAAAGGTAAGGACATAAGCATTATGTTTTAATCTCTTAGATTCACCTCACAGACTTGATAAAAGTGGTTTCAGGAACCTAGAAAGCTTGCTGGAGGGGCACATACCCCCACGTCAGCATATCCATGCCGACCTGCCTGCCTGTCTTTTCATAAAGAGTCCAAACAGTCATAGCATCAACTCGTGTTTTTTATTTTGTGTTTTGCTTTCTTGGCAAATGTGGTAGTAAGTCTTTTTTAAAGGAATTTTTTGATTATGTATTATTATTTTTTTAGAAGAGACAAAGTCTCACCATGTTGCCCAGGCTTATCTCAAGCTCCTGGGCTCAAGCAATCCTCCTGCTAGGCCTCCCAAAGTGCTGGGATACAGGCATGAGCCACCGTGCCCAACCTTAAAAGAAAACTTTTAATTGTAAGAATATTTGAAGAAGTGCACAGATCACATGTGCACTGCAGGGAATCTTTATGAATGATCCCAGGCAAGCACCACCCAGACCAAGGCCTAGAGTGTGAGCAGATCCCATGGAGTGACCCCACCAGCAGTGGTTCTGCCTGTGTCTGACCCAGTGTAGATGAGCCACTGAGTGGCCCCCCATGTCTGAGGTCCATCACTGTTGCTGTGTGTTCCTGTGCCCCATTCTGCTCACTTTGTAGCTGTGTGGTTTTCCTGGTCTTCAGTCATGTGAGCGCATGCTGTCTATACAACGGCCTGTCCTGGGCATTGGGCATGCCAGCAGGGGTCACCACAGTGGCACTGCTGGGCTCTGTCTCTGGGTCCTGGGAGGTAGGCTGCTGGTCCCTGGGTGCCTGTCTGGGCCATGTGGGCAGATGCCCACAGACACAGCTGTGACTGAGACATGCTTCTGGCAGGACCCGACAGAGAACTGCGGACAGTCAGGCAGACGATGATTGACTTCCTGCAGAACCACACAGAAGGAAACAGGCCCCCAGCATGCCCGCCTCTGGAGCCTATTCCGTAAGTAGCACTGTGAACAAGGTGACTGTTAGGGCTTGACTCTCATTCTGTGAAATGCAGGTTGCATTAAGTGACATGGGCGCTGGTGTGTGCTGGCCAGCTCGCTGCTACTGAAAGCACTAAAAATCTCTTTTTTCTCTCACAAGGTCCCAGAACGTTCTTTCTCTCATTGACAACCATGGTGGTCGTTATGTGGCTGTTCTGATCGAAAGCAACAGCTCCTACCTTGGACGAGAGGTACTGGGCTACATGGGTGGATTGTGCCTTGTGGTGCCATCATGGATGGCATCTGTGCCTGGGCTTGTGGGTGGTAATACCTACTCAGCAACACTTGCTGCAGGCGTGGGTCAGTTCTCATTAGTTGTTCGAATCGTCTTATACAACCAAGTCACTGGTTTACAGAAGAGAATGTTCTGGTGAACAAAGCCAGCCATGGTTGGGGTTCAGAGCGTGGCCCAGCCCGGGGTTTGGAACCAAGAGGTAGCTTTGCAGAAGAGCTGTTTGATGACATGCCAAGTTTGCCCTAAGGCCCTTCTTCATTTGTATGCACTGTCACCAAGACTTTCTCTTTGCTGTATTCTGAACTCTCGACATTTTTGCCAAATCCAAGATTCTGTAAAGCGTTTCTGTTGTGACACATTGTACTTCCTTCCACATGTACAATTCTGAATCCCCCACCTCGGGATAAGTCCACATAAGATCCAGGGGTGAGTGACAAACTCTGCTGGAGCCGATGGTCCTGGAGACGAGTGGGAAGGGTCTCCTTGCATACTCAGCACTGGCCATGCTGCTCCTGTCTCTGCACCTTGGTAGCAACTGTGTCTCCTGTTTTCCATCATCTGGGGCAGCTCAAGGGTTAAGGGAGGAAACAGCTTTGTCCTGTAGGGCTGGTGGAGACACACTTGGGTGGAGGCTGCAGTCATGTGCTATAGCGCCTTACTTGCTCCTGCTGCCCTCCTGGCACCTCCTCGCATGCCCCCAGGTGTCATGGAGCCATCAGGCCACACATCTGTGGTGGGCCAGGGTTCCCTGTGGAGGGGCCAAGGGGCCATCAGCAGTGTGTCATTCCCCAGATGCCTTTCCCCATTCCCGAGGCCTCCTCTGGTGCGTGCTGCCTCAGGCAGGGCCCCCACAAGCTACCCCCTGTGCACACACGTGCACACACAGATCTGAGGTGGGGCTCCTCCCGAGAAGCATGAATGTCTGGGTGCTGGGCACCCCCCACCCTGCCTGGCGCATTGGTGCATTCAGGGCAGCTGGCTCTGCCTGCCAGGAGGAGTGCTCTCAGCATAGGCAGGTTGGTGGGCTGGCCTGGATGAGGGCTGGGGCTGGCCAAGTGTGGTGACGAGTGCTCAGTAGATACCCCTGATCCAAAGAGGTGCAGGTCACTTGGTGCACCCAGTCTCTTTTTTAGCCAGGGTCCCCGATCCAGCATGGCTGGTTTTGTGGGTCTGTAGAGAAGCAGAGAGAAAGGCTCTGAGCTCGCCTGCAGTGACAGCATGCACTCTGGCTCTGTGGCCTGCTGCACTGCTCCATGGGACTGTTGGCCTTCCACACGCAGAGACACTGCCTAACCCACACCAAGCTGTCAGGAGAGCACAGAGCCAGTGGCCACTGAGTGTGTAGGGACGCCGTCACTGCCATGAGCTCTGGAGGCACGCCGGTTCAAGACTGAAGCACAAGTTCTCTGATAGATGTTCTCTTTGGTCTGTAAATTACCAGATGAAGTAGTCACTTCTGCCTGTGGCGTGTGTGGCCTTCAGTGGCCTCAAAGTGCAAAAAAGCTGAAAGTGTACATAGAGGTCTTGCTGTGGAATGGACCGTGTTGACTTACTCCAAATGTCAGTGTTTCTGGCATCCGCCACATAGTATTTCTGTGCTTTTGTCAGTGTGGACAAGAACAGCAGTTCACTTAAGCCTCACTCTTCTCGGTGATTGAATGTCCTTTTGTGTGAAGGGTCACCTATGCAGTCAGGTGTCTACACATCATTCTGTTTCCTGAGAAGACTGCCACCCTTGGTGAGGTGAGTTATGTCCTCACTCCCAGGTGATCTTGGACTTGATTCCATATGAGAACATCGAGGTGACCCGGGCCCTGAATGGAGACAAAGCACTTCTGGAAAAGCTGGGCGTTTCTTCAGTTCCTTCATGTTACTTGATTCACCCAAATGGGTCGCATGGACTAGTTAAGATGTGAGTGCTGGTCTGGGACTGGGTAGAGTTATGGGACAGGGGCTTCAAGTCCATGGACCAGTCCAGTGGGGAATCATGGGAGCCGTGGTCCTCTCAGCCCCCTCCCTGGTAGATTTCAGCTTTGGCTCCAGCCATGGGTATTAGCGTTCTGAACAAATCCTGGATCCAACAGATGTCCACCAAGCCCTACTCTGTGCCAGGCTCTGGGCATAAGATTGGCCTGTGGGTGGGGGATGAGCATGTGCTTCCCCCACTCCCCAGAATGGCGTGGGGGGATGGGAGGTGAATACGTGTTCCCCCCCAGGATGAGGTAGGAGGATGGGAGATGAGCATGGCTCCCCCGAGGATGGGAGGTGGGGGGTGGGAGTTAAGCACGTGCCTCCCAACAGAATGAGGTAGGGGAAATGGGAGGTGAGCACGTACTCCTCCACACCCCCTGAAGAATGAGGTGGGGGGATAGTAGGTAAGCACATGCCCCCCACTGCAGAATGAGGTGGAGAGATGGGAGGCAAGCATGTGCCCCCAACAGTAGAATGAGGTGGGGGGATGGGAGGCGAGCACATGCCCCTACCCCTGCAGAATGAGAGGTTGGGGTGGCTCCAGGCCCTGCCCTACTTTCTGCGCGCCTCTCTGAGACCAGCAGAAACCCCATGTGCCCTTTGCCTGAGTGCCTATGCCCCTGAGAGATGCCCAGCTAGAAAGGAACTGGCTTGAGTAATACAGTTGGGAAGGGCGACGTAGATGAGAAAGTGAAATACTGTCCTGAGGCTGGAGGCCCCTGGCCTCACTAGTGGAGGAGGCAATGTGAGGCTGTGTCACCCTGGGACCCACCAGTCCTAGCCCAGAGGCCCTGTCAGTGAGCTGGCACGTGCTGATTTGGCCACCTGGCAGCTCTTGGTCAACTCCCATTCTAGGCCTTCTGAGTGCAGGGACATAGCATGAGAAGATGGGATAGGCTTTCTGCCTCTCGGGCTTCTACCTAGCACCTTCCAAGGGTGACTGTGGCAGTGAGAGTGCCTCACCCAGAGGCCCAGTGCACCACAGTCCCTAGGCATACTTCTATTATCTCGAAAAACAGAGGAAGCCTGTTCCAGGTCTGAAGCACCATGTGACCCTGACAGCTATCCTGAACCACTGCCAAATGTGCCCTTAGTGCTAAAAGGATCATATACAACTTCTTTTTTAGTTTTTAATTTTTTTTAAAAGACAGAGTCTTGGTCTCTCGCCAGGCTGGAGTACAGTGGTGCAGTCATAGCTCACTACAGCCTCGACTTCCTAGGCTCAAGTGATCCTCCCACTTCAGCTTCCCAAGTATCTGGAATTAAAGGCATACATCACCAGACCGGCTAATTTTTTGTTTTTTTTTGTAGAGACAGGGCCTCACTGTATTGCCCAGGCTGGTCTCGAACTCCTGGCTTCAAGCAATCCTCTTGCCTCAGCCTCCCAAAGTGCTGGGATTACAGGAGGGAGCCACTGGGTCAGCCAATGTACAACTTCTTAACATAAAATAATTTTAATATTTTTACAGCTATTCTCATATTTTTCAAGTAATACTGCCTCATTCTTTGGAAATGACAACAAGCTCTGAGCTACAGCAGAGGGGCTCAGTGGTGGCACTGATCGCATCTTCCACCCTGTCCCTGCAGGGCCAGTATGGCAGAAAGCTCAGGGAGTGACGTCAGGGAGGGGCCAGGCACCCTCAGCCCCGACTTCCAGATGCCCACTCAGGGCTGGCAGATTGTGGGCCCGTCGGCGAAGGCTCTTAGGAGGTTGGGAGTCACAGTGGGGGTAAAGCTGGTCTTGGCAGATGCTCACACAGCTTACGGGACGTCTTAAGACCCAGCAGGCCCAGATGAGTTGCGTGCTTATTACAGCTGCAGCCCTGGCTGATCTGTGGGCTTGGTGTCATTCTCAGGTGGAAGATCACTATGGCTGCTCCCAGGCACCAACAAAAGCCCCAATGAATGAATGAATGGAGGGCAGAGCTTTCCTAAATGGGGGCTTTCTTGACTTCCTGACATGGGCGACTCCTTACCTTTGCCCTCTCCTTCCTCAGTGCAAAGCCCTTCCGAGCATTTTTCTCCTCTTACTTGAAGTCTTTGCCAGACGTGAGGAAAAAATCACTCTCCTTGCCTGAAAAGCCAAACACAGAAGAAAAAGAGGAAATTGTGACTTGGAGAGAATTTGACAAGCAAGTATCCTCCTAACTGCAACTCCCTGGGGACAGGCCATGTAGCCACAGAGGGCTGCACATGGCAGGCGTGGGTTTACTCAGAAACCTTCACTGAGTCCCTGGCCACATGGGACACCCTGGAGCTGTGGGGGGACCCACTTCCCTGGTTCTTGTGGGCAGGAATGAGAACAGGGTGACTCCATGTAAGGAAAGATGGCATTGGACTGACCCATGGTGTCTCCCCAGGTCCAGGCTGTACACAGCAGACCTGGAGTCGGGGCTGCACTGCCTCCTGCGGGTGGAACTGGCCGCCCACAAGTCCCTGGCTGGTGCGGAGCTGAAGACGCTTAAGGACTTTGTCACTGTCCTCGCCAAGGTTCGGGTTCCTGGTCGGTTCTGCACAGAGTGGGCACTGGGGTGCGTTTGGCTCTGACTGGACGTCGCTGACTCAGTGGACACTCTCCGCCTTGCCTTCAGCAGCTCAGCCTGTGCCGTGACTCACCTGACAGTAGTCCCCAGGCCCTGCATGTCCAAAGCTATTCTCAGGGCTGGGCAGGGTGGCCTGGGCTCCAGCCTCAAGGCTGTGGACATAGAGGGGGCGGGGACACAGGTGGGGGTTGAGATGTGAGCTGAGCCCTGCAGGAAAGGCCAGCTCAGGATGCAGGGAGAGGGGACAGCGGGAGCCTGTGGCGGTCCCCGGGCGGGGGCAGTGCTGGAGAACTAGATGGCTCTTGCCCCCGTGGGCAGTGGGCAGGGACGTGCAGACCAGCTGCAGGGTGCACCTGCTCTGCCAGCCAGGCTCAGGGAGGGCCTGGGGCTTCACCCTCGGGGCCATTGTTGGCACGGACATGGTGTCTGAAACCACTGATGGGGTCACGGGGCAGGCGGAGACTTGGCCCAACGGAGCTCAAGTCCTGCCATTTCAGGGTTGGGCTGAAGAGGATGGGCCAGGAGGTGGCTGGAGGCTCTGTCTGGGCTGGGCTGTCGCCTCCTGCTCTCTGACCTCTGGGACAGCCCTACCCCACAGGCCTACCCCACCCCTGCTCCTGGTCACAGGGGGAAGTATTTGTCTGGTGGTAGTTGTGTATCACATCATGACCTCAGACCTTGTTACCATCTAAGAGATAAGGAGGCTGAAGCTTAAACGATTTCTCTTGCCAGAATTGAAGTATCCAAAAGGATCGTTTATATCTGATACTCAGGTGGTCAGAGTTTGCTTACATAGTATGGTTTTTGAAAAATCAAGGAAACAGAATTTATGTGTAAAGGAATAGTGATGTTTTAGATGAATGCATGAGTGCTGTTCAGACAGGTTCTCACCCTACTATGCCATCAGAGTTCAGAAATCTCTAGCTGGCCTCATTTCTTTAAGGAAGTGTCCTGCTAATCTGTCTATCATATTAGCACTGGCAGCCAGGCTGTGTGTGGTAGCTGCCAGTCAGCTGACTCACTGGCTGCACAGCTGTCAGCAGTGGGACCTATTCCCTGCCTGGCTGTGCTTTCTCTCTTCCTGGCCATCGCTGCCTCTTCTCCCTCGTTTCAGTTAGACAGAGGGCCAAGGTGTGCACACCTGTTGTGGACAGCTCCTTAAGACAAGTGATGATATGTTATTCCTAGCAAGTTTTCTAGAATGCACTTAAATGCCTAAAAATAAATGTAATGCTGGTAAATTGCTAATGGTACTTTGAAACCTGTGTAGAAAGACAGTGTATTTTACTGGGTTGAAATTGTGATATTTCTGGTCTAGCCATGTCATTAGTAAACTTTTTGCTTGGGTTTTCAAGAATTCTCTGGCAGCCTCTATTTTGCATATTTGATAAGGCACTTTAATCAAGATTCCTTATAAAGGGAAGACGGGACCACCAGGGTCATCTTAGTGAGATGCTCCTGTGGGCTGTCGTGGTGTCAGCTGCACACAGTAGTGCCGGTGTCCACAGGCGGTCAGATACAGGCTGAAGCACTTCTGTGTGGCCACACAGTCACACAGTCAGCAGAGGCAGAGGGAGGCTAGGGAGGCAGGTCGGGCAGGTCAGCGGACCTATCGAGAGTAGGGAGGGTAAATTCGTAGGCCAGTGAGCCTCACTGATGTGGCAGTGAGCCATACACTGACTACTCTGTCACCTGTGGGGTGGGAAGGGGGCAGGAGGCACAGGTGGGTAAGTGGCAGGACTGGCTGGAAGTCAGGCCACACGGGCTATCTTGGGGAGAGATGCTAGCCAATGCCTGCCCTGGTACCCCACATTGCCTCCTCCTATAGGGGAAGCCCTGGTTCTTGGAAAGGCTCCCTTTCTGGTCTAAGCCCCTCAATTGTCTGAATCCATCTTCCCGGAGACACTGTGGCAGCCTGGTCGGCAGCAGTGGGATGCATCGGGGCAATGTGTGACTTGGCTCCATGACACCCTGGGACCTGCCTGGCTGCAGCCATCTCCAGTCTCTCAGGGTGGTCCTTCCTTGCACAGTTGTTCCCTGGCCGGCCGCCAGTCAGGAAGCTGTTGGAGATGCTGCAGGAGTGGCTGGCCAGCCTCCCCCTGGACAGGATCCCCTACAATGCCGTGCTCGACCTGGTCAACAACAAGATGCGGGTGAGCCCCAACTGCAGTGTGTGCCTGCCTCTCTCCCTACCCAGTGCGTTTCCCTGCCTGCCTAGGCTCAGGCCCAGGCTCTGCAGTGAGAAGAAGGGACAGTATGCCTGTGTGCAGATGGCTGCCTTGGCCATGATGCTGCTGTCACCTCCTGTGCACAGCGCAGTTCCCTTTTATCCCTTGCTGGAGCCCCATAATTCCTACAGCTCCTTTTCCATAACTTTGCATCCATGCCCTCCCCCATCTACAGCGGCAGGTTGTGCCGAGACTTCAGTTTAAGAAAGTTAAAGAAAAAAGAGTGAAAAGGAAAAAAAGCCAGTTCAGAAGTGTGCAGTGGCAGCTTGTCCTTCTGAGAACACAGGTGGTTTCCCGGGCTTTCTGTTTTTAATTTTAGCAACCCACCTAAATTTTACGCCTAAAAGCTGCGTGCTTGGGGAGTGGCAGCCTGTCACAGGTGCTGGATGGTGCCAGTCTCCCCTCAGGTCTGACACCGTCTAAGTCTCAGGGTTCCCACCTGCCCTTCCTGCACAGTCCAGATTAGCAGCCTCCCTGCAGCCCTGGTTACATGGTGTTCTGGTTCTGTTTGATGGAATGTTCCGGGGGCTTAGCTGCCTTCCCAGCTGTAGGTCCCAGGGATCCTAGTAAGGGCCATTGGGTGTGCTATTTGTCAGCTTGTCATTTGCTGGTTGCCCTGGAAGTGAGCGGTGCTGGTCTCTTGCTTTAGTCTCTCTTCTCCCTTCATGCCCAGCTTGAGGTCATGGCCACGTTTTTTAGCACATGACCATGACATGTGATGTCACCCCCATGAGAGCGTTGTGTGCTCAGAGCCCTTACAGAGGGAAGGGTTGACAGAGCACACAACCGGACTGAGTGGAGTCCATCCTGGAGGCCTGGCCAGCGGCACCTGCTCCAGTGGGACTCCCACCTGTGCTTGCTCAGTTGTGGGCATTTTGCCCTTGAGCTGTTAAACAGCACAAGGTCATCCCCCTGGCTTCTTAAAGTGAGCCTAGTGTGCTCTTTGTGACTGAGAATTATTTATTTGACTGTTGAACTTTCTTTTTTATTGTTGTCTTTTCTCTTAATGCTTTCATTATAACGAATTCTAGTTTAAAAGCAAAGGGGATTGTCTTTTATGCTTAATATTGCTAGCTCGTCGATATAGAAATAGCTCTTCCTTTCTCCCCAGAAACAGGAAAAGAACAGACATGTTTCCATATGCTGAGAATTCCTTTAGTAAAGAAGAGACTTTTTTTCTCTCAAGTATGTTTGGATTGAATTTAAATTGACAGGTGATGGGTACACAGATCTTATGCATATGTTGATGGAGTTTTGATAAGCATACACCCCATGGAACCCCCACTCCAACCAAGATGGAGAATGGCTGTCAGCTGTTGCTTATTTTAACGTTTGTCTCCTATTCTTTGTGTGTTTTTTTTCCCCCAGATTGCTGGAATATTCCTCACTAATCAAATAAAGTGGGTTGGGTGTCAAGGAAGCCGGTCTGAGTTGAGGGGTTACCCATGTTCTCTCTGGAAATTATTCCACACTCTGACTGTTCAAGCCTCAACCCATCCCAACGCACTGATTGGAACAGGTAAACTGTCCTGCACAGGCCAGGGAATAGCTGGTTTGCCCAACACAGTACCCGAGCTGGTGCGTTCCAAGTATGTGAGAGGCACCTGCAGAAGTGTTGCTGTATGTGAGGCAGCTTGTTGCTGGGTGCCCTGCAGAGCAGGAGAGGAGCATCTCCCAGAACTCACACCTGTGGACAGCTTGCGCAGGCCGCAGGCTGCAGGAGCTTGAGGTGCCACTTCCCAGAACTTACAAGGAAGTATGTGGCCAGCCTGTAGGAAGTAAATAATAGAGAAGAAAGAGAAGATGCCGGTTAGGAATTTCCCTGCAGTGTAGACTCCCCTATGTTGCTTAATAGAATGCAAGAATATGTGAAACCTATTTGGAAAGATATGTTAGTTATCAGTTGTTGCAGAACAAATTGCCCCCAAACTTAGCAGCCTAAAACAACCCATGTTATTATCTCAGTTTCTGTGGGTCAGGTGTGGCTTCATCTGGGTCTTCTGCTTCAGGACTGATGAGGCTGTGACCAGAACGTCAGCCAGGAGGAGCATACCTGTAATCTTAGCAACTCAAGAGGCTGAGGCAGGAGGATCACTTGGGCCCAGGAGGTCGAGGCTGCAGTGAGCTATGATCGTACCACTGTACTCAGGCCTGGGCAACAGAGTGAACTCCATCTCTTAAAACAAGGGAAAAGTGTCAGCCAGGCCTATGTCTCATCTGAGGCTCCACTAAGGAAGATCTGCTTCCCAGCTCCCTCATGGTCTGTTGCAGGATTCGGTCCTTGCTGGCTACAGCCTAAGGCCACTCTCAGTGCCTGTCCCGGAAAGCTCACATCCTGGCACTGGCTCCAGAACACACCAGCAAGAGGGCACTCATCTGGAATGATGTTCTTGCCTCCCTGCCAGATTCTGCTCACTAGCAGTTGATCATCAGGCCCACCCCCTGGCAGGGGAGGGCAGGAGATTGGGGGTGAATGTGGGCAGCAGGAACTGTGGGAATTGCAGAGCCTGCAGCCACAGAGGCTAAAACCACAAGACTTCAAGGTCAGATTTAATAACTTTCAATTATTAGGAAATAGCTAAATCAAAATTATATTTTCTTTTTTTGGTAATATCTGAAACTAAACCTCTCTGTCTTACACGAGATGGAATTCAAAAGAGATAATTATGTATCAAGTGCTGTAAGCAAGGGGAATGAAAGTTATATTTTGTATCTTTCACAAGATACTATGTGTTGGATTTTTTATCTCCTCATGCCTTGTATGTGTCCATTCCGGTTTAAGCAATCATTGAGGTTCATGAATGTTTATGTTAATTCAAAAGTGGAGTCTTTTGACTCATACAATTCAATATTCTTTTCAGTAGAATTGCAGAATATTTTTACAGTTATTTTTTTGCCACATAAAAAACTAATCCAAGATGCTGTGGCTTAAAACCACCACCACTGTCTTTTTGTATTTGCTCACAGTCCTGTGGGTCAGCAGCTGGGTTGGGCTCAGTGGGGCGGTACTTTGTCAGTGCCACTTGGGCTGGCTGATATGGCTGTGGTCTTCTGGTGGCAGCTGGTCAGTCCGGGAGCTTTGAATGCCTTGAACTCCCACAGGCCAGACCCAGTGTCCTCACTGGCTAGTACCAGGTTCAGGTGGGACCCCCAAGGCCTTGGCATGGAGTCATAGAGCATCATTCTCACCTCATCCTGTTGGCTCAGCCCAGATTCATGGCGGGAGAAACAGATTCTGCCTGTGAATGGGAGAAGCGGCAGAGTCCCCTTGTGGAAGGAATATATTCAGGGATGGGGGCTCCATCTTGGCTGTCTTGGAAAGTCTCTGCTGCCCTGACTTTCCTCAAGGTGATGTTGGGTTGCTGCTTCTCAGGGGGTTGGTAAGGAGGACTTTTAGCCTCAAATTCTTTTCATACAGAAAAAGGAGTAGTATATTTTGGGGGAGAAACTTCGGGAGCTCTCCAAGCAGAAGATGAAATGAGAGCATCAGCACTGTTAAATTTATTGCAAGCAGGCTATTTAAGCCCCTTTCGAAACCTGAGCCTGTGCCGTGGGAACTCATGTTTATATGGAGAGAGTGCTGTGAGGCGGAAGCTCACACAGGCCCTGCAGTCCCCTCCATCTGCATCTGATACACGCACACAGGTGGCACGAGGGACAGCCCTTGGATGGCTGTGCAATGATGGCCAGAGAAGGAAATCGAGCCAGGATGTTCGACGTAAAGATGACAGGACTGATCCTCGTGTGTGAAACTGTAGAAGCAGCAGAAGGTCAAGCCCAGAGCTAGAAAGAGCCTAGCGTTACGCTCATCAGCATAAGTGGGTGCAATCTCCGAGGAGAACGTCTCCTGCCACGAGAATTGGGTCAGACGAGACCGTGGGATTAAGTCTTGGAGGTTTTTCTTCTCCTTATTGTGTGTTTAAACCCTGTCTACTAAAACGCCTGCCGAGTCCACTAATCCTCCCCACAGGTAGAGGTTTACGGTCTTGTCCACTTTAGAGATTAGGGTGGCTCCGCGTGTGGCGTGGTGGGAAGGGGGGATTACGCAGTGATGTGAGGCAGATGTCTGGAGATCTAACGGGAGCAAAGGGTGGACAGACCGAAGCCAGGGTCAGTGCCTGCGGTCTACACTGGCGCTGCTTGTGGACGCACTCAGGTCCAAAGAGAAGCTGGCTCTGTTTTGCCTTCTCTAGGTGACATAAACAAGGACCATGGAGGTGACAGACCAGGATGCTCAGATCAGGGCTGCAGTGAGTGCGGGGCCTGGGCCTGACCCTGGGGGCCTGTGGAGATGTCACAGATGCTTTCTCAGGCGTGTCTTTTTTTTTGCAATTGTTTTGCTGCATTTCTTTTAATGCTGACATTTAATCTGTCTTAATCTCGTGGGTCTCTCATTTGTCCATTCAATCCCTGTATTAGTTGTCTGTGCCGTGACTGTGGGGCCCAGGCCCATGCAGGCTCCCTTGGTGTTCCTGAGTGCACTCTTCAGTGTTGCTGCTGCCCCTGCCATGGGGGGAGGGGAGACTACGCTTGCGAAACACATGTGTAACTCATTCACAGCATCTTCCCAGGCACACCTCATTCTGTCAGTGTCTGTTTTTACATGCAGGGGCATAAGCTCTGTGTGGCTTATGGGTGGTTATGGGTGGTGGAGAGTTTTCTCTTAAAACAATCACCATTTGGGATGGTATGTCCTTTTTTGTCTTTTTCTTTTCTTTTTTTTTGCGTCAGCCTGTGGTCAGCAGGGCAACGCATAGTCGGTAGACAGGCCAGGGTAGAGCATCTCTGCTGATTCCAGCACATTTGAAGTTCACAAACAGAAGTGATTGTACTTGCCTTACTTCCAGAAGCTCCTGGGCTGAGTGGGTTTGTCACCTAGGTGACTGAAGTGCGATGGCGCATTTATGGCTCACCATAACCTTGACCTCCTGGGCTCGAGCAATCTACCCATGTTGGCCTCCCAAAGTGCTGGGATTACAGGCTCACATCACCATACTTTTTTTTTTAATGTTTTGTAGAGACGAGGTCTCTCTATGTTACCTAGACTGGTCTCAAAGTCCTGGCCTCAAGTGATCCTCCCACTTTGGCCTCCCAAAGTGCAGGAATTACAAGTGTGAGCCACTGCTCCTGGCTTTTCCTTTTAGAAAGAGTAGACCCTTCCAGCCTGCTGCCTCAAGTTTCCTGCTGTGACCAAATTCCCACTTGGGCTTGTGTCCTGCAAGGACCCAGACATGACAATGACAGCATCACTGCCCTGACACCAGCCTCTGGTGTTGCCTGTAGGGCAGAGAAATCACACAACTGGCAGACCCTGTACTCCGAGGCTGAATCACTCTCTGGGCCACAAGGCCAAGAGCAGGACAGGTTGAGAGTTGTGAGGCATCCTGGAAGGGCTATGGAGCTGCGACATGGAGTCTTACAGTTCGTCCCCTTGATGCCAGTGCACACTCAAAGTGTTGTGGAGCTCGAGGCTGAGCACGTGTCTGCTGTGGTGTGAGCACATGTGCATGGTCGTTGTGTCTCGAGAGCCTGTGGGCGCCTTCTGGTTGCACTGGGTGTCTGGGCAAGTGCCGGCTCCCGCACTTGTCCTTGGCCCAGGCCTGTGGAGACACACGGGGCTGCCATGCTGTGTGTCAGGCTCACTGCCCGTTTCCCACATCCAGATTCTGTCCCAGGCTGTCTGGACAAGCCAGATGTTCGGCAATGCTCATGCCCATGGCATCAACAGTGTTTCTTCCCTCTGCAGGTTTCGAGGATGACCCCCAGGCCGTGCTGCAGACCCTGAGGCGGTACATTCGCACCTTCTTTGGGTGTAAGGAGTGTGGCGAGCACTTCGAGGAAATGGCTAAAGAATCCATGGATTCGGTGAAAACCCCAGACCAAGCAGTTCTCTGGCTTTGGAAGAAGCATAACGTAGTAAACAGTCGCCTGGCAGGTGAGACAAGCCACACCCTAGTGTCCCTGGCCCTTTAGAAGAAAGTGACCTTCAGCCTGGATGTCAGGTGAAGCCGGAGTAGGCATGTTCTGCCCAGCATGTTCTGGGGACAGCACAGACCGTGTGGCTGCCTGCGTGTGGCTGTCTCGTGCCGCCTACTGTAGTGGCATCATCTGGACTTTGGTGGCTGGGGGCTGCCAAGGGCCACGGCCCTCCCAGGCTGTGCTGTCCCTGGCTTTCCAGATTGATCTCTGGCTTTGGGGACTCTTGGCCACATGGATCTTTCTTCCCCTGAAGGCCCACTAAACTCACTAAACCCAACACTGGAACACTTGGAATAGAATTAAGTTTTGGTAAGGAATTTTAGTGTCACTAAAATCTGTTCTCAGACTAGAAACCAAACCTCTTAGCATGGTTCTGTTTAAAAAGAAAAAAAAAACCTAGCTGGTTGCGGTGGCCCACACCTGTAATCCCAGCACTTTGGGAGGTGCAGCGAGAGGACCAGCCTGGGCAACGTGGCGAGACCTCATCTCTACAGTCAATCAAAAAGTTAGCCGGGCATGGTGATGGTGGTGGTGGCTACTTGGAAGGCTGAGGCAGAAGGATCGCCTGAACCCAGCAGGTCACGGCTGCAGTGGCTGTGAGCTTGCCACTGCACTCCAGCTCGGGGAACAGAATGACTCCAACTCAAAAAAGAAAGAAAGACTAAATAGGGCACGTGTATTTTCTCAGAGTTAAGTAATTCAAACTATTTCTAAATGAATAGCAGATTAAAATTAGGCTTAAAAACAATTCCACTGAGAAATAAATCTTAATAGAGATGAATAGAAAATGCCACTAAACGATTGGCTTTTATTTAATCCACCGTATTATAAAAACATATTACAACTAAAGCACTAAAGAAAATTGGTTTTTCTTTGCACTTAGAGCTGCGTTTGCAGCTGGCGTCATGTGACACAGGCACCTCTGTGCTTGTGGGATTTGCCCCATCGCTGTCAGCTGTGATTGCGGTGCTTTTGCCATGGCCTTAAGGCAGGGATTTCTGCCCTACAGAATGCCTCTCGGGCCCCATGCGGCAACCCCCTGCCCTCCTCACAGGGCTTCCCTGGTTGCCCCTGAAGCCCTCGGCTCTGAGGCAGCAGGACCTGAACTCCCGCCAGGCCTGCCCGTCCAGAGCCCACCTGTGCTCCAGCCCACACGTGGCCCACATCTTGGGCTGCAGCCATAGTATACTGTGGCCCAGTGTACCTGTGTCACTCCTGGGAGTTTGGTGTGCCCCTGCCTAGTCCCACCTGCAACCTGGAAGGCCCCTTGGAGGTCTGGCCAGACCTCTGTCCAGTGTCAGCTCCTCGCTTCACACGTTATTTGAGACTCTTCCCACAGCCTACGATCAGCAGAGCAACACACGGTCATTAGATAGGCCAGGGTAGAGCATCTCTGCTGATGCCAGCACATTTGAAGTCCACAAACAGATGTGATTGTACTTGCCTTACTTCCAGAAGCTCCTGGGCGGGGTGGGCTTCGGCAGGAGACCCAAGGGCTCTGAGCACTGAGTGAAGCCGTGTGCCACAGCTGTACCACAGAGGACCTGAGCCGCACAGTCCCTGGGCTGTGGGTCTGTGACTGGTGAAGGGAACAGTAGCCCCCACGTGAGCCCCAGCACAGGGGCCTTCACGGCTGTGTCCGTCTGGAGGGCATGCCTTCGTGGATATCCCACGGTCTGGCGGGCACCTCCCACAGCAGGGCGCTGTCGGTGAGGGGTAGAAAGCTACATGCAGAAGTTTAGTTCAGAATTGTTCATGTGACTGCCCCAAGGAATTGGTCAGCAGAAACATCTGGAGCCCTTGGGCTGTCAGGGTGTGGTGAGTTCCTGCGTAGGAGCCAGGAGATGTGTGGGATGGACGCACGTGGGTCCATGACTGGGGGCGTCTCCTCAGGAGCGTACGCCTGTGCAGTTCAGGAGAGAGATCTGAAAGTCCCCTTTCCCCTCACCCCCACACTCTCCCCCCTGTGTCTGTAGCAGACCCAGGAGCAGCTCTGTCATCTGTCTGCACATCAGTACCTTGGTTATTCCGGGAGTGTGTCACTCTTGAAATTAGTTTGGAGCTGGGCGCAGTGGTTCACGCCTATAATCCCAGCACTTTGGGAGGCCAAGGCGAGAGGATTGCCTGAGCCCAGGGGTTCAGGACCAATCTGGGTAACTTAGTGAGATCTCATCTCTACAATAAATTTTAAAAATTAGCTGGGCATGGTGTGCATGCCTGTGGTTTCAGCTACTTGGATGACTGAGGTGGAAGGATCACCTGAGCCTAGCAGGTCGAGGCTGCAGTGGCCGACAGAGTGAGACTCCAATAATGAAAAAAGAAAAAAAAATGTGTTTGGAGACCTTTTTTAAAGAAAAAAAAAACAAGGCCTCACTGTGTCGCCCAGGCTAGAGTGCAGTGGCATAATCAGCTCTCTGCAGCCTCAACCTCCTGGACTCGGGCAATCTTCCTCCAGCCTCCTGAGTAACTGGGGACTACAGGCATGCACCACTGTGCCTGGCTGATTTTTTATTTTTCATTTTTAGTAGAGATGAAGTCTCGCTATATTGCCCCAGCTGGTCTGGAACTCCTGGGCTCAGGCAGTCCTCCCTCCTCAGCCTCCAAAGTGCTGGATTATAGATGTGAGCCACCAGGCCTGACCAGGAGATCCTTGAGGGACTTTTAGAGTCTAGGAGGGTGTCTGTGTGCCTGAAGTTCAGTGAAACCACAGGGGCAGCCAGGGTCAGGTGGGGTGCTTCGAGCGGCAGCATAGTCGGGGCTTGGTGGGTGTGGACCTCAGGTGTGCCTACATGCAGTGATGGGGGCACCAGGCAATGCACCACTGAGCAAAGGAGCTGAAGTGAGAGCCACGGCAGCCCTTTTGGAAGCAGGAGTTGCTGGGAAGATGGGGCAGGAGTCGGGGCGTGGGTGCAGACTCCTCTCTGTAGGCCAGGACCCTGGGATGGTAATGTCAGTAAGGAGCCTGGCAGGGTGTCCTCTGTGCTGCACTGTGAGGAAGGGGTGGTAGGGAGGCCCAGCAGGACCGGGGGGAGGCCCACAGTGGACGAGAGCTGGGGGGCAGCACCACGGACAAAGGCCTTTCCCTACCCTGGCTCTCCCTCTTCCTTTTCCTCCTAGGCCATCTGAGTGAGGATCCCAAGTTTCCAAAGGTTCCGTGGCCCACTCCAGACCTCTGCCCAGCCTGCCATGAGGAAATCAAGGGCTTGGACAGCTGGGACGAGGGCCAGGTGCTTACCTTCCTGAAGCAGCACTACAGCAGCAACAATCTCCTGGACACGTACTCGGTGGACTCAGCCGACACTGGTGAGGGAGCAGCCCCAGCCAGGGACGAGGAGGAGAGAGGACTCACACCCCCAGGGAAGGCCCTTGGAGGCCAGGATGCCGAGAGTATCCACCCGCCCAGCGCGATGGGCCCCAGGCTCCACCTGTCAGAGAACTGGCACCAGCGACTAGATGTGCGACTCCAGAGCCCGCGGGGGTCCGCCATCCGCCAGGAGGCCGAGGCGGCTGTGCCCTTTCTGGGGGCCGGCTTCTCCAGCCTGGACATGAGCCTCTGCGTTGTGCTGTATGTGGCCTCGTCCTTGTTCCTGATGGTGATGTACTTCTTCTTCCGCATGAGGTCTAAGCGCTGGAAGGTCAAGTATCACCACCCAGCTGTGTAGCAGGTCTCCCAGGTGATGCAGGAGATGGCAGGAGGCGGAAGCATCTTTGGAAAAGGGGCCCCACCCTGCCACCTGCAGCTTTAATATTTATGATCAGGGATTTATCAACAGCCGGGCCTGGTGCACATCAGATGCGCCTTTTGCTTCCAGGCCTGTTTTACAGACACGCTTCCAGCCAGGGAAGAGTATGGGTGTTTGTGGGAATACTCTCCTCCCTGGCGCTGTCTCCTCCTTGCAGGTCCTGCAGCAGAAAGACGTCTATATTTTTACCCTTGCAGATCTAAAATAGCGGGAGGAGAGTGCAGGCCAGGCAGCATGTTCCCCATGTCCTTTCATCTTGAGCTTGGTGACGCTACAGTGTGTTTTGACTTTGGAGAAAAGTCCATCCTGCCTGGCTGCGCCCGTGGTGGAGCAGAGCGGGAGCTCCTGCACCCCGACCCCGCGGAGTGTGGCCCCGCAGGCATGGGGTGTGTCTCTGGCATGTGGTCTCTGCATATGCAAGAGAATGTTCTCGTTCTCACAGGAAGGACAAGACTCTCGTTCCTTCACATCCTGCAGGGGTTTCCACTCCTGTGGGGGTGGCCACACAGAGCGGGAGGAGCATCAAGCTTGTGGCTGTGCTGCATCTTGAGAGAACCCAGAGGCCTATGGCGTACACTTGGGTGTCAGAAAGGACAGGACAGTGGCCTGTTTTACTCCTCAGGGGCAGTGCCTTTGCTCATCAATCTGGTGACAAAAGAGACAGAAGCAAATAGGGCCATCCCAACCTGCCTATCTTGGGGGCTGTTCTGGGTGGGCCGGGGGCACTGAAGCAGCAGTGTCCATGGGGTGGGGGGACAGTGGCCTGCTTTACGGGACACGGTCCCCCGGGAGACTCTTAAGGACCCTCAGTCTGTGTTCCTCATCCAGCAGAGCACGGGGCCCCTGAGGCCCCGGCTATTGCTGTGGTGGCTGGGTTTCATGTGCCTGAGCTGCTTTGGGCAGGGTCCCCTGGCGCTGGTCTCCCAGGCTTTGGTCACACCTTTTTTACTATTTAATAATTTAAACTTGTTGCTTTAAAACCCAAAACATTTGGTGGTGAATTTGCCTCTGAAAACTTAAACGAAACAAAAGAAATATACTGTTTCTGGGAACATTTGTATTGAGATTCTTTGTGGCTGTTGGTGTGTCTCACAGCTTTGTTTCACTTGGATAAAACAGGCCCAGATATGTGTGTGTGCACGCACCTTGTGTGTGAGGGAGACTGTAATAGCAGTAAACAGTTTCCCACTTTGTCTATTTTATATTTGTGCTCATGTGTTTACCAACCACAGTTGGTCACGTGGCTGTACGGATAAGACCACTCTAATACTGCTGTTGCTGCAGTTTGAGAAGGAAGTCCTTGAGCAGCTGTTGAGGAGTCAGGGGAGAGTGCCGGAAGCCTCGGCTGCTGGGTGGTAGCACCCCTTGCCCCCTTCTCTGCCCTGGAGTTTCTTGTTTGATGCGTTTTAACTCCCAGCAGCCTCTGTGTATAACAAACAAGAGCTTGTCCCCATGGCTAGTTTGCGGGTCTGGGTCGTCAAAGACACAAAATTGTTTCTCTTCGTCCTTGCACACCAGGCAGGTTTACATGTCCTTCCACAGGGAAGGACTCTAACTGCTTCACTCCACTGCCTTTTCTCCCCTTGACTCAGTTGCCATCCATGGTGTTGCCAGAGGGCGCTTTGCAGCTTGTTGCCGTGGCTTCAGCCTTGCAGACCCCCCACTCAGGGGGCCGGGCTGGCATGCAGGATCCATTGAAATGTTGCAGTCTGGGGTCCCCGCCGTTTGGGGGACAAGCCTACAGCCTGCCCGGGGGTAGGGTTTCACCAGAGCATTCATGTCCAGGCGGAGCCATCATGGTGACAGGCTATGGTGGCCTCACGGGTGTGGGGACACCTCAAGCAGCTGCTTGGAGCTGAACACCACATTCAGGCAAGACATAAGGTCTATTTTCTGAAGTTTTAAGTATTTTAAGAGGTATTGATACTAATGAATATAACAGCTCAGTAATTTAAATGTTTATTTATTTTTAATGGAGTGATTTTTATTAAAAAGAAGCTAATGACATAGAAATGTCAGTGAAATTTCTTACCTGCAAAGAAAGTGAACATTTTGTACTTAAGAAAACTATAATGTGCTCATTTTAAGAATAAAAATATCTGACATTTGAAAAAATTGTAATTCTTTTGAAATGTGAATGGGCTCCACCAGTGGGAGCTGGGGTGGGGGATTGGGTGCAGAATGGGCCCTTCCTTCCTTTCTGGGGTTTATGGACTGCAATTCTGGAATTTCTTGTATTGAGCCAGAGACTTTTTGGAAGACAGCCCAGGGGTCAGATGGAAAGATGAGAAGCGGGTTATAAGATGGTCTCGGAGAACTGAGGATGACCCCTTCAGGTGGGTGGAAGGGCAGGTGAGAGAGTGTAATTAGGTTTCAAAACGTCCCTGAGGTGGCCCAGCTGAAGGGGACCCCAAGGAGCCTGCCTGGGGGCAGCCCTCCCTCAGTACCCGGTGGTTGGCTGTGGCTCCCTAAGACACCCTTTGCTCCTGGGTGGGGTGCTCAGCTCTTGTTCTGCTTCAGAGTCCGCAACCAGTTTGCAGGGTCCCAGGGGGTTTGCCCTAACACCGTGTTTGCCATTTTGACATCTGCCTCACCACCACTTGGGCTCTGTCATGGGGGGGGGGGGCTCTCGATCCCTCGGCTCGGGCCCAGGCCCTCCCATGGCGAGGCCCTGGCAGTCTCCGTGTGCCAGCAGGACAGGTCATGGGCAGACGAGTGGCTGGGGGCAGTGACTCCCTCGGGCCAACCATCCCAGGGCCTTGGAGCCCACGCTGGAGCCCTGAACCGTGTTTCTCCTTGGGAGCACTGAAGGCGCGCTGGGGGCAAGGCTGTCTCCCAGGGGTCCAGGGCCGGGCACCAGGAGGCCGAGCCTGGGAAGCTCCCCAGGCCGGCGGCCGCACTCCTGCGGGAGCAGCCTCAGGGCGGCCAGCTGGAGGTTGTCGGCGAGGGGCCACCGCGGCCACCGCCTTGGCGCTGCCCTCCGCGAGGGACGACCCGCTTGCTGCGAACCCCGGCGTCGCCCAGCCGCCCGAAGCGCGGGCCGAGCGGGA